TTTGTGATCATCTTACATTAAGATTATAGTCTATTTACCTCACACTCACCGATAGAAGATTTATAGAAGTCATATACTTTTTTGGACATAAGGCTAAAATGCCTTCATGTGAGAAGCAGCAAGATGACTGCTATCCAAAGGTTATGGAATTGGTGGTCATTAGCCTGGTTCTGATCTTTTGCTTTGAGGGTACCCAGTGAATGGTGGCCTGGGACTACCCTATTTACTACTGTAATGCCTTTCTTCCATTCTTATGACATGTATTAATCTGGTAGGTATGGTCCTGCTTTTGTGAATGAGTGTTATTAAAAGTTCTGTCCTCTAACCAACCCCCATTGTGTAAGTAATATCCAGTCATTTAAGAGTTTAATCTATACACGTCAACAATTCATGTATTATCTATCATCTGAAGTGGAACTATTCATGTATAATGTGCTATTCTTTGTAGTGTTTTAAATTCTACACCACTGGCTAAATTAATGCACTATCAGTAGAATTACCTTATGATTTCTAATGTTCTCTATCATAAAGTGTTAATGGTATCTCCAAAATGAACCAATGACATATATATACCATAGCTCTATGAATGGATTTTGAGCTAGTACTTAATCCTATCTCCAATCTAAGAATACTTAGTTCCTATGACATGACTCTGCTCGATGCTCTCCTCATGAAGAAATCAAAGATAAGAGTGCTACAGCAAAGTTTGATGATGAAACAAGTTGGTGCCTGGTTATCAGCAAGAATAGTGTCTAGGTTCTTCAAACCAGTACACATTTAAGTGAGGTGTCACCTGAGTCCATATAGAAGAAGAAGCACACCAGTCTGGGTGATCCAAGGATTGTAAGTAACAAAATCCAAATCAGAAGGAAGTGATGTTATCAGAGCTTTAAGTTTTGAACACCGGTTTGCAGAAGGCTATGTAGGACATTAGATGCCTAAAATCGATTGCAGGGTTCATAGATGGATTAAGCCTCTGGTAAATCCCCTCTGAACATAGTCGAAGGATGTAAATAGCCTTGCTATCAGACAAAGAGCCTTGTATGTCAACTGTGGCAAATATAGTTAGGTTAATGAATTAATCTATCATTTTGATCTCCTACTTTTGACCCATTTTAAGGTTGTCTCAGTGTTTAATATTTTCTGCTTTCTTTTTATGGTTTTTCTATGTTTTGTCTAGTCATTGTTAATGGTTTTTGTTTGTTTGCTTCCTGGTTGTGTTTCGATTGATTTTTTTGCATAAGAAATCCAGGACAGATTGAGGACCTAATGTCGGGGGTTTAAATGAAGAGAAAATGTTTTGAGAAATGATGTACAAATACGCTTTACACAATTGATGTGTGTATGGATTGGGATAACAGTTGTATGAGC